CTGGATGGCACCATATTTTCCACACAGAAGTTTATGTAATCTGAAACACAGTGTGTGAGGCCGTCTATGTCCTCTCCATGAGGACTACAGCGGATGTCCCAGTCTGTGGTGTTAAAACAGTCTCTCAGCTGCTCAATTGGCTCCTCTGTCCATACCTTTACTACCCTGACCTGAGGTGACACCTTTTTCACCACTGGAGTATACACAAGAATCATGTGGACAAGGTTGTGGTCAGAACGACCTAGAGAGTGGAGGGGGGCGGAGGTGTATGCATTTCTGGCATTTGCATACAGTAGGTCCAGAGTTTTATTGTCCCTCGTGCATCAATTCACATAGTGTTTGAAGTTAGGGAGGGTGGCAGAGAAGGGGAGGGAGGCATGATTAAAGTCCCCTGAGATGAGGATTAAAGCATGTGGGTGTTGTGTCTGCAGCTGAGACAAGTCTGAATCTTTAGCAAGCAGCGGCATTCACCAATATTCAGTACCTCATATCTCAACAAGGCACAAAATATCACACGACGTGCACTTAGCTGTCTGTTCAGAGAATGTGTGTGTGTGTTTGTGTGTCCACTCTAGTGTGTGTGTGTGTTTGTGTATGCGACATCTCCTGCCATCCCACCATTAAAACACACCTCCTCCTTAACAACGCAGGTCCAGGAAAAATGCTGTGCACAGTACAGATACGTGCATGAGCAAACAGTGATTTAAATAACATTGTGTGAATTTGTTTGATTTGCTCCGTGTTTTTTCTTTCTAAACAACAACAGTTGGCAAATCTTCAAACAAAAGGTGTTTGATCATAATCAACTAATGATTACATGACAGATCAACAAACAGAACAGGCAAATTACCTCATCACTGACAAAACAGTAACACTGTGATGCAATATAACACCAGTCGTATGGGTTTATATAGGAACATCACTGGAGTAACACCAGTGACAAACTGGAGGAAAAACAAAATGGCTGCCATGTGTTGCACCACACATCTTCAGTCATATTAAAGTCATTTAATTAATCAGAGTGACCAGTGACACGACAGTTCCTTGAATAAATTGCTAAAATTAAATATTGAACATCAGGTGAATAAACCTTTTATCACTTAAAGAGATGTTGTTATTTATTCAGCATACAGTATATAATGTGATTATCATGTCAACGTAAAGGATTTTAGTGTCTGCAAATGTAAGTGTTTGTTTTGGAATGACCCACCTCGCTCCTGCAGTGGACTTGTTAGTCCTTCCTACATGCAGTCAAAAGAAGTCTGCAGAAAGTCAGATCACCTCAGTCCCCAAAACCTGTTTTCTGTTGAAAAACATAAGACAGTATTTTGTGATTCTAAAATTGAAACTTATACAGCAGGACTCTCAAGGACAAAATTAACACCGAAGGCAATTTTAAAAAGAGATTTCTGAGATATGACAGAAACCTTTGGAATAGAAGTTGATTGTTCTTTATACCTAGGCTCTCTTTAAAATACTCTTGGCTGTGATCGTGGGGATGTCTGCAGACAAGCCCACCAGCACAGGATGACTAGACTGCACCTGTCAACAGAATAAACTGTATGGAGAAACTGCCCTTTACCTTAAGGCTGTGATGTAAAAATGGACTATACTGTAAACATACCTATAAAATGTAACTCATAATATACTGTCATTCCTGGTTTCTTCATGAGTATTATGTTAGCCATTGTTTTTGCCTAAATATATTCATAAAGTTGAAAAACAAGGATAGAAACAACAAATCATCACTGCTGTGGATGTTCAAGGATGTAATGTCAACCATTTATACTTGAAAAATGACTCCAACAGGTACCAGATAATCAGAACACTATCCCGCTTCTCACACATGAAGATGGCTTTTCTATGGCTCATATTATTCATATCAAAGTGAACTTCTGTTGCTGGACAAAACGCAATTCAAAGACTTTGAGCTCTGGTAACCTTTGATGAGCAGTTGTCATTATTTATGACAGTCTATAAATTGAGCGCACAATTTTACTACTAATACAACAACATCCAACACCTTCACTCACTGGGGAGTTCTCCTGTCTGTTTTTTAGGATGGTCTCACAGCACTGCACCTGGCAGCTGATGGAGGTCACTATGAATGTGTCAGACTGCTGCTGGAGTCCGGCTGTAATGTCAATGCACGCACGAATGTATGGTTTGATCATTTAATGTCGTATATCATTTGCAAAAAAACACAAGCGATTGATGTTTAAATCCATGTTTTCTTCTGCTTATAGAAGAATATGAATGCTCTCCATTATGTGGCCCGGCGTGGCTTTGGCAGAGAGGCCAGCTTACTTCTGGAAGCAGGAGTCAACATCAATGCTGTTGACAATGTGAGTAAGGTTACCTGAACTCATTTCTGGAAAGTGTCTTCATACTGCTGTCGTGGTTGCAGTCTGCGTTTGTATTGAAAACAATGCAGGTGGAGGCAGTAACCACCAGTAGTTTGAAGGTACTGTACCTTTAATCTTATGTGTAAGAAGCCATTTTCACACTGATCTCCACGGGTTAAAAAGTACAGTTTTGGGTTGTACAGGGGATGGACAGTGCACGCAGCTGTCAGATGACAAGGCGTCAGGATTTTTAACCTGGATTATTAACCTCCAGTGGTTGGATTAAGGCAGACAACATTACCACTCTGTCGTAACCACAACTTTGACAACATAAGCCACTCCTGATCTCTCTCTGCCCCTCCTGTCACATCCTGTTTCCTAGTGACATCGTCAACTGCGGATGTCTGGTTACTGCAAAGTTTTCAAAGTGCAACCTCTGCGAACTGCTGCAAGCATTAATTGAACAATGAGCAGTCCAGTAAAACATTGTGGTTACTGCTCATGTGACACAAAGCTTGAATTGCACTCAAATTAAAATCATATACATTCAATACCAAAGTGAAATCATGACCCTGCCAGGTTGCTAATTTTACCAAAACAAACACATAGCTTTGGATGCTAATACATCCAGAAGTAACATCTCCACATCAGAGTCACATCTGCTTTTAACACTCTTCTATCAAAGAGCCAAACTGATGTTAACCTTGGATTTTACTCTTTCTTTGTCCCACTCTCTGTGTAACTCGGCATGTTTAGCCTGGCAGCCACTGTTTTGGACTTTTAGCTGCCTACTGCTCTTCCATGGCTGGCTGTTACAAATGACAATTCGCAGTTCAAAAAAACACTTTTTATAACTTTTGCTAGGTGGCAGGTGGGGCTGATTTACAGACCATACTTTTTACAGTTTTCACTCGATTTATCAGACAGTGTAAAATCTTAGTAAATGCACCTTTAAAGAATTGGAATAATTCAGAAGATAGTAAAGTTAGAGTCATTTCTGCACAGAGCAACTTTAAAGATCATAATTGCTCCCCTCACACACAGCAGTCAGCTGAGCACAGGGAGAACAGAGACAGACGTCACTCCATAGTGCAACAATCAGCCAGTAACAGACTGTATGAGCAGTTGTACGAGCAAGCAGAACACAGATTTGCAGAAATATGATGTCTTCACCGCTTTGCCCGCTCACTGAAGTCCTCGTTTTGCTTCCAAACCAACAAGTGAAGTCCTCATTTTACCTTGAAACCAGTGTAAATGTCTTTTTCCACATCATGCTCAAGCGATATTATCTGCCTATTTCACACAATCATATTTGTATTAACTAAAATGTAAGAGAGGTATCATCTTAAAAATATATTGAGCTGCTTAGTTCGCTTTCAAATAATGATGTCGTTGCAATTCAGCATAAAGGAGCATTTATATTGTCACACATACAAAAAAGCTGGAAAAACCATATTTCCTACATTCTCTTCATTCAGCCTGATGTTTTATTTCGGAAGGAGGGCGGTTTCGTTTTGTTTCTGCCCTAACCAATCATAGGGGTGTAACGACCCATCAATCTGGATCGATTCCAGGTGACATGTGTCTCACACACATCTCTGAGTCAGTGGGGACTGACATATTTGATAGACTGGAGTTTTATCTGTTGTGTAAGGGGGTCAGTGACAGAACTCTTTCTGTAGCAGCCAAGAAAAATACACAGATAAAGTAACTCTCCCATCAGAAACAAGTCGTGGATATGGACTTATTCTGGACTAAAAGGACACACACACACAACAGTAAGTGTGAATGTTAAGTTTTAAACAAAATTCCTACTGCAATATAGTAGAACACAATAACGTCAGCCTGATTATCAGGCCAAACTGTGGCCCCAGATCTGAAGCGTTCCTGCAGAGTTGATTTTTGGAATTCAGTTCACATGATCCATGTTTCAAAACTAACAATAGTAATCTAGTGGGCATTTGAGCATTTAAATGCACAACGCCAAAGGTCTGTTTTTTTTTTAAATTGTCACCTGACTGAAGAATATCTTGTGTAATATGTAAGTAGCTCAAATAAATCTGAAATTGTGTTCACAGAGCAAACGTGTTAATAGGCAGTAGAGCAGGAAGCATAACACAAGATTTGCTGGTACACTTTAAGTCCCTCTGTTTAACAATTGATACTCTATAATGTAGTTTAACATAGTCAAGGACATTTTAAAGTGATTATCAATGTACGGTGTTTGTCCTGTCTTCTTCTGTCAAGGCATTCTATATTATTGTGGCTGTGTTTTACTAGATTGTCATTTCCTATCTAGTTATGCAGCAGTCTACAGTTGTGTTGTTAACAGATACAGTATATTAACACTGAGATCAGCCTCTACACTACAGTATGCTTCAACGTTTCTCTACTGATTATTTGTCAATACTAAATTGGGGAGTTAAAGTATGGTGTTGCCAGTTAGCTATTCTCATAGCCACAAAACACAAACATGGCTCCTAACAGCTTCTTTCTTTGTGTTTCAAACAGCAACACAAAACGCCACTCAATACTGCTGCGTTCAACAATCACACTGAGGTTGTACGGCTGCTTATAGATGCTGACTGTGACCTGGACATCGCTGACAGTGTGAGTACAAGCCCCTACAGCCGCACTGCTGCTCCAGAGAGAGCTGAGAGGCAGAGAAGCGCATGGCTCCGCAGGACCTCTGTGTTCTCATGTTCATCTGAGCGTGGCCAAAACAAGCACATTTCACAATGACACAGTGAAGCAGTAACACAGTATTACTGAGCAGGTTCCTGTCATGTGGTTCACAGAGACAGCAGACTGCTTTGCACATAGCAGCAGAGCATGGCTGGCAAGAGCTGGCTGAGATGATGCTAGTTGCTGGTGTTAACCTCAGTGTGACTGACAAGGTACCACACAGCACACACTCACTGTCAGAGGTCATGATTTACTGCTTTTGTCCTTCTTCAAGTTTTTCAATTATTAGTGTCATAATATTACAACATGTTTTTTTTTATTACTATTAACATGTCTGGGGCGCAGTGGTTTGACCTGCTGCATATACTTACTATATGGGTGGTTGATTCTGTGACACTGCATCATGTGTCTTAAGGTTATCACAGTTTTGTTATCTGCAAAGTAACTAGTAACTTTATTTGCAGTAACTAGTACAAAACTTGTCTCTGAAATGTCTAATATAGTATTAAATCAAAATACTAAATGGTACATAAATACAGTAAATGTTACTGTACATACAGTGGGTACGGAAAGTATTCAGACCCCCTTAAATTTTCCACTCTTTGTTATATTGCAGCCAGATGCTAAAATCATTTAAGTTCATTTTTTCCTCATTAATGTACACACAGCACCCCATATTGACAGAACAACTGAATTTTTGACATTTTTGCAGATTTATTAAAAAAGAAAAACTCAAATATCACATGGTCATAAGTATTCAGACCCTTTGCTGTGACACTCATATATTTAACTTAGGTGCTGTCCATTTCTTCTGATCATCCCTGAGATGGTTCTACACCTTCATTTGAGTCCAGCTGTGTTTGATTATACTGATTGGACGTGATTAGGAAAGCCACACACCTGTCTATATAAGACCCTACAGCTCACACTGCATGTCAGAGCAAATGAGAATCATGAGGTCAAAGGAACTGCCTGAAGAGCTCACAGACAGAATTGTGGCAAGGCACAGATCTGGCCAAGGTTACAAAAAAAAATTTCTGCTGCACTTAAGGTTCCTAAGAGCAC